GCAGCACCACTTCCCATGGCGCTGCTGAAACAAGCTTGATTGTGAGCAGCGGCTACTCTCACCTCTTGGGGGTCTGAACCCCCTACTTCGCCGCTGTGTCGTCCCGAAGGACCAGACTCTCTTCGCAGGTCCGCTGCCTGCGCGCTCCCGTCGTACTGTACGGTCCCAAAATGACCTGCAGTGCTTGTGGCGACGCTCTCCACGGCGCCGCCGCTTTCAGCGGCGCCCTCCGTGGCACCGCCGGACTTCTCCTCTATACGTGCAGCAAGTCCTCCGACCAGCTGCACCAGCTGGCCCATTTGCTGTGTCAGCGAACTGATCTCAGACCGCATGCTGTCGATCTGCTCGCTGCTATTTGTGTCTCCTGCCTGCGAGCCGTCCGGAGTGGTCCCTCCGGTTCTGCGGCCCGCCATCCCTAATGGACTCCCTCGAAGGAATAAACACTAGTGAGTTGGTATGTCCGTACTTGGGAGGAGAAGACACGCTGTAACTCTCTCTGATTCGGCACCCGCGGGAGCGAGGAAAAGAAGGGAAGAAGTGGCCCTCCCGAATTCGGGGAAGGGGGCCCACACATAGTAGCATTTTTCAGGCATACGCATGCTCCTGTCTACGTACCCCCCCGTGCTGCTTGCAGATCTACCATGCTCGTATCCAGACACACGAACATGACACGCGTTCTCTTCACACCAGCAGCAGGTGCGGAAGGACGTCGGCGCCTGCTCTCTGCTCGTTCCCGAATCGTCTCAGCGTGCTGCTTTCCAACGGCAACAACCTCATCGTTGCCAGCTACAAACTCCTCGATAATCGCACCACGACTCCTCTGCGTGCCCTTGTCCAGGAGCACAGACGTCAGCGTATACCCGGTTCTGGTTTGTATCCATGTCTGCTTGACTACAGCAGTATTGCCGGAAAGTGTGAGCCCGAATACGGGTGCTGTGAAAAAAAACTAACCTTCTTCAACGAAGTGTGCGGAACCAAAATATTCGTGAGAAAGCTCTCTCCACCAGCGATCGAATAAGACTATCCACAGCGCGGGGGTTTTCGTTTTTGAGAAAGATATGGCTCCATTACCATCAATGCAGAAGGTACTTCGTCCCACAAGAATCGCCATATCTCAACAACTACGGCGAACCCCACGAAAAAAATGCAGATTTGAAAGGNTCCTCTGCGTGCCCTTGTCCAGGAGCACAGACGTCAGCGTATACCCGGTTCTGGTTTGTATCCATGTCTGCTTGACTACAGCAGTATTGCCGGAAAGTGTGAGCCCGAATACGGGTGCTGTGAAAAAAAACTAACCTTCTTCAACGAAGTGTGCGGAACCAAAATATTCGTGAGAAAGCTCTCTCCACCAGCGATCGAATAAGACTATCCACAGCGCGGGGGTTTTCGTTTTTGAGAAAGATATGGCTCCATTACCATCAATGCAGAAGGTACTTCGTCCCACAAGAATCGCCATATCTCAACAACTACGGCGAACCCCACGAAAAAAATGCAGATTTGAAAGGCTCTCTTTCAGAAGTATTTTACTGCGGCGGAATCATCCCCGAGCGTGGTGAATGAAGAACTTAAAAAAAATCAGAACCAACATTTTCCTGTCCCGCCCCAGGAAGGCGCCATATACACGTACCAAGATGTTTTTGTTTTTTTCATGAGTATTTCGTTCTTCTCTACTCAAGCCCCGCCGATACAATGGAAAAAAAATGAGGTACAGGGTGTTTTGAGTTCGTGATTGTCAAAATATTAGATCAAAAGTTATCACACACCCCCCCCGGAAATGCCTGAAAAATCCGATACATTTCCTTTTCTTTTCTTTCTTTCTTCGTCCGCCCCCTTTTTTGCCGTGTTGGGGTCATCTCCAGGTCCTTTCTTTTTTTGGTACGGGTCAGTCTATCATCAGATCGCTCTTGTATGCTTTCTTCTTTTTTTTTGCCTTCCGACAATTGCATATATATGTACCTCAGAAAACTTTCACTTAATGTCTCATACGCTACATGAATATTAAACCAATACGAAGTACAACAACATATGTAGGACTTATTTCTACTGTCACTTACATCGTAAAAATATCTCCTCTTCAACTTGAAATAAAACCAATGACAATACTCATGGTATCCTACATGCGTTCGTAAGCTTGCTAAAACACTACAGCGTTGATGTCCTCTTGTAAAAGCTGAAATCCAACAAATGCTTCGATCCATGCTACATCTCCGTGTTGGAAAAGCCCTTTCTTCTCCGTTCATGATAACATCTTACCCTATTTTACGCAAATCTGTCACATCTACTCTCAAACAAGACGCCAACTTCAAACGAAAACGCGTTCTACGATGCGTCTACAC